CTACTACTACTACTACTACTACTACTACTACTACCACTACTGCTACTACTACTACTACTACTACTACTACTACTACTACTACTACTACTACTACTACTGTTGCTACTGCTGCCCGGTTATATACATCAAGTTGACATACAGCCTGACGGTTGCTTTCATGATGCCTTCTTAAATGACAAATATGAGCACTGAGGATAAACCCGCCTATACTGGTGCCGCTATTGTTGACGGAAGCGTGCATGCATGTACGAACAAACGAAAAGCCGATGTTGTCATGCTACTGCTTAACACTGCGTCAATATAATTCCTTCCGAATAGCTAAACTTGACCACATAGCAAAAAGAAAGACTACAATATGGTTCATCACAGACAGTACTTCATGGTTGTTTTAATCTTTTGTGTGTAATCGTTTTCCGCTTGTTCCTGGAATTTGCTTTAATATTGTTCACGAACCACGCAGTTCGTTATGTGACGATGACCTTGTGTGCGTGTATGCGTGTGTGCGTGTGTGCGTGTGCGTGCGTGTGTGCGTGTGTACGCGTGCGTGCGTGTGTGCGTGTGTGCGCGTGTGTGCGTGTGTGCGTGTGTGCGTGTGTGCGCCTGCGTGCGTGTGTGCGTGTATGCGTGTGCGCGTGCGTGCGTACGTGTAAGCGAGCGGGGGTCATGGGTCATTAATGATCGATGGCGAATTCATGTCTATGCAGGAGTACGGTGTATAGCATTACCCGGTGTCGCACAGAATACGCCAAGGATTTTATATATTTGTTGACGTCACCACACAATTTGCTGCGAGGTTATATAGCACCCTTTACAGTCTAGAAAAGAAATTAGGTCATTGGACTATCGTGACAGTCACTATATAGCCATATACATTGGTCTGTTCAAACGCCTTGTGTGCTCACTATACTAGCCCTATTTATACAGTATGCACGCGCTTTTATAGTTGTACACGCTGTCTAGTATGAAAGATCAAAATACAAGCAATGTTGAAATTATGCACACACACACACACACACACACACACACACACACACACACACACACACACACACACACACACACACACACACACAC